GGGGGGGGGGGGGGGGGGGGGGGGGGGGGGGGGGGGGGGGGGGGTGGGGTAGGTGGAGATAGCACGGGTCGGTGTCTCCATCTTCGCGGAAAAACTTGGAACGCTGTTGTGCTTGCCACGCTATTTTCGCACAACAACAACGCTATCTAGGTGAGACGTGAGCGGGGGGAGAGCGAAGGGCACGCAGGCAGGTGTCTTATTTTCCGGCGTGCGTTGTCGATTGAATTGCAAGGCCTTGTGCTCGTTGCAGCAGGCGTGCAAGCCCTCTACGTCGCGCGTGTTTGGAGCAGACACGCCGAGCGTATGTATGTATCTTCGTGCGGAAAAAGAAAAGAACGCACACGTTCATCTCGGTCGGGTGTGTGCGCATGGAAAAAAAAAACAACCCGCCGCGCCAAGTAGCGTACCTGGTACAGCAATAAACGAGGGTGGCGGGCCCAAGCGCCGCGCGTATGTTCAGCAGGAGGCCTGGCGCGCTTACAAGGAAGAGCCGCTGCATGAAGGGTGTATGCACAGGCTTTGCGTGTTTTCAGTTCCATTTTTCGCCGCTGTTTGTTCTGATGGATTTCGCTCTGTCGTTGGCGGGCAGCAGGCAGACAAGCACGGGTTTTTTTTGCGCGAGCCTCGCACAACCGATCGGAATTTGACGGGCTCTGCCAGGAAGCTCGTCAGAGGAGGAGAGCTAAGGAAGGCGAGGACCGCGACAGCCCGAAGGGTGAGAACCAATAGCGCGTTCATTAGATGAGTCCACGAAGCTGCGTTTCCATAGGAGACGGTGCCTTCCTTGTGCGGGCTTGCATTTTGTTTGAACGCCTTGCTTCAAAAGGACTCCTCTGCTCCTGTTCCTGGCGCAAAAATTGGGAAAAGTTCATTGCTTGGAGAGTGCAACAACAGCAGCTGTTTGGCTCTGTCCCTGCTGTGCATCACCGAGGCCTTGAGCATTCCCAACAGCAGTCTCTCGCGGCGGCCGGCAGCTCACGTGACAACCACGCGACTCGGAACTGCAAGCAGTATTCAAGAAGAACCAGGGCGCCTTCTGCAGCAGCTTGATAGCGATGTATATCTAGCTTCGAGAGTTGAGATCGATTGCTGTGGCAACAAACCTCCCGTCCGGTCTTGCTCACACAAAATACACAGCAGTCGGAATTACCAGCCAACACGTGTGCAAAAAATGGGCTGGTCGCTTGTTCTAAACGACTGGCAATGAACGAGTTCCGGTGGGTGCAGCTGGAAAATGATTGCACAACAAGACTTGTCGGGTTGATTGTATGTCGACTACTTGTCCCTCTGGCACTCCTGCCTACACCCCGCGCCCAATTTTTTTTCACTGTACACGAACGTAGGTGGTAAAAGTGCAACAACCACATGGCGCGGGCACTACCAGAGCAGCAGCAGCAGCAGAGGGGCAGGCCGGTGCACTCGAGCGCGGCCGAGGCCGCGGCCGCGGCCGCCGCGTACGGCATGTCGACGCCGACTTTCACCCCGGAGCGGAGCCGCAGCCTCACGCGGCCGGCGACGACAGTGGCATCGGCGCTCGCCGGCCGCAGCAGCAGCTTGACGGGCGGCGGCGCCGGCGGCGGCGTTGGCGACGGAAATAGCGGCGGCAGCGGTACTGCCACTACTCCTGCTACTCCTGCTGCTCCTCCTAGGAGGAGGGGGGGGCTGGCCACGCCATCTTCGCCGTCGACCCGGCGGTCGAAGAACGCCCACCGCCGCTGCGTGAGCTTCAGCGACGACGTTGTCGGCGGCGAGGAGGAGGACGCGGACGAGGACGAGGACGCGGACGAGGACGAGGTGATGGAGTATGTGCGTTTCGACGACGACGGGGAGGACGACGACTACCCTGATATATCGCCTCAGGGATCGGTCACCTCTTCCACCCTCTCCGGCTCGCTGGCGTCGTCCTCGCAGCAGCAGCAGCAGCAGCAGCAGCAGCACCGCAGGCTAGATAGGGGCCGCGGCGCGTCGTCGGTGGTGAACTGGCAATCGCTTGGTATCGCCGGGCTTTCCGTAGACGACGAGCAGCAGCCGCAGCAGCAGCAGCAGTCGCTGGGCGGTGGCGGCGGCGGCGGCGGCGGCGGCTACGACGGGGTCAGCGACGCGGGCAGCAGCAGCGCGCCGTCTGTCGCGACGCCGCGCAAGAAGAGGGGCAAGATGCGATGGAAATGTGAGCCTGGAACGTAACCGAGGTGTTCGAAAATATATACACATACTCATCCACATAGAAGAGACGAGTTAATTGTTTTGATCGCGTTGCACTTGCTGGACCTTGGCAATTGGAACCGCCGCTGCTGATGATTTTACTGGCCAAGAGAGAGACAGGGCGCGGGTAGCCGAGGGTGTTCGGAAAATGTGGTACAAATACACAGAAAAACGAAGGATTACTTTTGTTTCTACAGCGTTTCACCCACTCGACGTTGACCTGTTGGAGCCGCTGCTGCTGATGATTTGATTGGCCAAGAGAGACAGGGCGTGGGTACTGCTTTGCATTGGATGACAATGTTTTTGAGAATTTTCTCCTGGGCGGGGGCAACACTACAGTAGGCACTCCGTGGAGGTGTTTTTTTTTTTCCAAATGATCATAACCTCACAGGAAGACTACCC